GCGTCGAGGAGGAGGAGCAGGTGTGGAAGGCCAAAGTGGGCACCACGGAGGAGGAGCTCCAGAAGGTGCTTGCCGGGGCCCTGCTCGGGACACGGGACACAACCCCGGGGGGAGTTCCTCTGAAATCCGGGGGAAAGTTGGCGGTTCATCTCTGTCACTTTAAAGACCTGTGTGTCACAGTTTTAGTCTGCTTTTGAAGTTAATTTCTTTATGAGAAACAGACACAGGAGGAGATACTTCTGACAGGGCTCGCCACAGTCCTGTCCCCTTAGTCCTCAGCAAGCTGGGGTCACAGCTGTGCCCAAAGGTGTACTCAGCACATGCAGGACATCCTAGGATCCAAACCCATGCCTCCCAGGCCTCCTGCACAGTGCTTGTACCACACAGCAGTTGGGCCACTGTGGGTGTTTTGGGGGTGCTCTCTAATGCAATTGCAGAACGACGGCTGAGCCCCTCATTTCTCAAGGGACCTCCCTCAGTCATAGTGGGCTCGCACACCCACCCCCAGGAAGAGGCTGCTGGGAGCTCCAGGTGACCCATGTAGGCAGGGGTGGAGGGACCGCTGGGGCTAGGGCTGGAGCTAGTCCTGCAGGTCCCTGCGTAGGACCCCACATCCCACCCCACCCCGTCAGTGCTCCTGTCTAATGGGCCTTTTCCCTGCTTCCTAGTCACGAGTCACGGTGAAACACCTTGAAGAGCTTGTCGAGAAGCTGAAAGGAGAACTCGAAAGTTCAGACCAGGTACGTGGGGGCTCTGCCTTGGGGAGCTGCCTTCTCCTCTGCCATTAACCTCAGACAGTGGCATTATCAGAGCGGCCACTTCACTGACATCTCCCTCATGAGCCAGGTGCTTTAAGAGAGGCTCTTCTCCCCCATGCCAAGGGATCTTGTCTGTCCTGTTTTTTGTTAATGAGACACATCCTCAGAGCGGCTGAGGCGTGGCCACAGGCAGACCCTGCACAGAACGGCCCGGCCCTGATAGGCAGTGGCTTCTGCCTTGACCTTAAGACCTGAGGTGCTTGAGGTGGCTGCTGCTCTCCAGGCTGCACAGTGAGCCCAGGCCTTGGAGAGGACCCCTCTGGAACCTGCCTTTGCATACAGTAAATTCCAGAGCCAGCCTCTTCCCAGCCCCAGGATCTGCAGCGTCAGGCCCTGGGAATACGGGAGAGTAAGTTCTCCAGCCACGGTCCGGTTTCCCGTCGGCCTCATTCACCTGGTCCCCATGGGCTGCAGAGGTCTCCTTGTAGCCCTTACTCGTCCAGGGCAGCCAGACCCTCTTCCCCGTGGTGAGTGCCCCCTGCCGACAGCCTGCAGGCTGCTGACGTGTGCACTGCATGTGTGTGTGTGTGTGCCCATCCAGGTGAGGGAGCACACCTCCCATCTGGAGGCGGAGCTGGAGAAGCACATGACGGCTGCCAGCGCCGAGTGCCAGAACTATGCCAAAGAGGTGGCAGGGGTGAGTCTGCCCGCTCCAAGCATGTGGTCCTGCCCGCAGAGTGAGCCCTCTGGAGTTGCTTCTCCTCAGTCTTCTGAAAGCGGTTCTTGTTAGCAGGGGACTCGGAGCTGGGTTTGCAGGCTTTGGCCTCAGGCCTTGCAGACACCACATGGGACTGTCAGACCTAGGGTGTGTCCTGGGTCAGGTTCCCAAAGGGCAGCCTGGCTGACAGGGCCTGTGAAGCCAGCAGCCTTGCCCAGCTGCAGTGGGAGCACTGATGCCTAGGCCCTGCCTGGCCCCACGCTGACATCGTTTTGGGTGGGAAATGGGCTTTAATTGACAGTGTTTTCTGGCTGTTGAGAAGCAGGAAGCACAAACCTGGTACACCCCACCCCCACCCCCCATTCTGGTTTAATCTCAGATTAGGGCCAGAGGCAGGCCTGCGGGGAACAGCATCCTCCCTAAGTTTTCAGAAGAGAAACCGAGGCCGTGGGAAGCCCGGTCTGCCCTGCCCGGGTGCTTGGTCAGGTGCTGGGACTGCATGCGCAGGCGCTGACTCCCAGGCACCGGCTCTTCTCCGTCTCCCTCCCAGTTGCGGCAGCTTTTATTAGAGTCACAGTCTCAGCTGGAGGTGGCCAAGAGCGAAGCCCAGAAACAGAGCGAGGAGCTTGCCCTGGTAGGTGGACCGGTGTCCCAGGCGGGTGGGACGGGGTCACACATGCGACATGTCTGCAGTTGTGTTTCCATATCTGCTCAAAAACAATGCAGCCCAGTGGAGTGGGACCGGACCCCCTTTTTACTGGGGGCGGGGGAGGAACAGGCTTCATGGAACTTTCATGCACATTTGCCCAAAGTGTCAAGCTGGGCTCATGGCAGCCGGGACCAGGATGTCCTCGCCCAATTCCTCACCCCTGGCAGCCCGGCCCCTGTTCAAGGCAGTAGGAGCTCAGAGCTGGGAGCTCTGGATGTCCAGGTGGTTGCATCACCTGGGGGTCACTTGGCCTGCGTCGCCTGTGGCTCTCAGCAAGTCCCTTGCCTTTTGTGGATTTCTCCCACCTTAGTGAGGGTTCAGACTAGGTCAGTCAAGCCTTCAGGTGAGCAGGGAGAGCCAGCGGACACCTGGTCTACCGGGTGTGGAGAAGGCGGAGCCCATCTACAGAGGTGGGGTGCTTTCCTGCATGATGGCCTGGGGCCCACCCAGTTTGACCCTGCTCCTAGGCAAGGTTACCCCAGCTCTGCAGATGCAGGAGGGCCTCACCAGACCCAGAACCCTCCAGGACATCCAGCCTGTGAGGCCACAGGCGTGTTCTGTTTTATCTGCAGTCGTGTCATTTTTTTTTTTTTAAGGAATTTTTACTGTAGGTCACATGTGCTCACCAGAGAAAGACAAAGAAAGAAAGCAAAAAATCACCCCCAAAGAGGATTGGCCATGCCTCAGTCCCTTCCCCTGAGATTCTGGCTTGCACATGCACATACCTGGTGTGAGTTCCAAGCCTCCAAGTCTGGGAATGGAACTGCAGTCGGCTATGTGGGAGTCCAGCACCTCAACCACTGTGCCTCCCACTGACACTTGCACAGTAGTTCCTAAAATCTTGCATTAGTTGTTGACATTTAGAAATTGGGAGATTTGGAATGCAAACATGTAGCTCCACATTTCAGAGAAGGTAGTTCTGGCCTGTGGGGCCGGCACTCCCCCCTGTGCCTGTTACCAGCTCCCAGCTCCCTGGGACGACTCTTGGTTGTTCAGACCCCAGCCAGGACCATCACACTGGGTGCTTCCTAGGCTGAGTCCCTTCCTGGGTCTCAGGTCACTCATCAAAGCAGCAGTGACACCATGTCCGGGTGACCAGCCCAGGGATGCAGCCAGGCTTGGGGACATTCAGGGAAGACCCCAGAGCTTCTCATGACCGCTCCACTGCGCAGCTTGGCTTTTGCCCGTGCAGGCCGTTGGGAGAAGAGGAAGTGCAGGGGCTGGCCTGCACACGAGTCCCTTCCAAGCAGGGGCTCTTGGCTGGGGCCCAGGACCATCCACATCCTGTTGAGCTCACACCAGGGGCCCCACTCACGACTCTCAGGCTTCTTGGTGACACTGCTGCCCTTCAGAGGGCTTTGGGGGCCACTGGCGATATCACCTGTGCCCACCCCCAGAGCTCAGGGCTGGGGATGCTGTTGGTGAGAACACCCTCTTTCCCAGCCCCAGGGAGGGCTGCGCAGTGGGCTGGATCTTGCAGAAACCTGGATGGAGCCGTGTCGGCGGCCTCTGTTCTGTTTTATTCAGAAGCTCTTTGTGGGCTGTGTCCATCTGGTCACCTGCTCCCCAGGAAGGGTCCCACCGGGTGGCATTGGAGCAGAGCACATGGGGCTCAGCCAGAGCTTGGCGGGTCTCAGAACCTCAGTTAGGTTCAGGTCATGGGTCATGGTCCTGGCCCTGCAAGCCTGCACGGGCTGAAGGTGTGGGCGAGGTCACAGTTGCCAGAGCAGGTCCCATGTAGGGGCTTCAGCTGGGGAGCAGCCTGGCCCTCCGAGGGGGTCTGCGTGTGTGTGTGTGTGCGTGTGCAAGGTGGGGAGCAACCAGCCGTGTGCTTGCACAAACCCATCCCTCTCTGTTTCAGGTCAGGCAGCAGTTGAGTGTGATGAAGAGCCACGTAGAGGATGGGGACGTAGCTGGGTCGCCGGCTGCCTCCCCAGAGGCCTCTCCAGCCGAGCAGGACCCCGTCAAGGTTAGGGCGGTGAGCTGCACCAGACACATCGCTAACCACCCGGCGGACGTAGGGATGGCGGCATCTGCTCCGACCATATCCTGTGCCCTGTGCTGGCTGCTCCCGGCCTCCACTGCCTCCCACCTCACCCACACCCAGATGAGGGGTCCCCCCAGTTAAGAGAAGGCCCAGAAAGAGTTCAGGGCAGGGCAGGTGGCCAGGCCGAGAGGCCTCGAGGGAGGAAGGCGAATAGCTGGGCCTGCAGCAAAAGGAGACTTTTCCTCCGACTGGGCCGTCACTTGCAGGATGTTTGCTCTCAGGGTTTTGGCCCAAGCCACAGCCCATCCAGAGCCCGCAGTGGAGGCAGGGCCAGTCAGGACAGCAGGGAGGTGGCTGAGGGGTCCCTGCTGTGGGGCTGTGGCTTGCTGGTGGCTCTGGTGTCCTCTGCTGGGGTAGGCCCACGGCACACCTTCCTGCCATGCCAGCTTTGTGCCCAGGGGCTGTGGCCCCACGGCTAAGTGGGGTGGGAGAGGTGGAGGGCATTTAAAGCAGCTAGAAGGGGTTCCACAAACCTGCTGGGAGCCCTGGGCCTGGAAGGGCACCCACATTACCCTCAAGGTGTTTCCACACAGCTGAAGATGCAGCTGGAGCGGACAGAGGCCGCCCTGGAGGACGAGCAGGCACGGCGGCGGCG